AAGCCAGAATGAAAATTAGTGGTGGAACTAGAGATGAAAAATCCTTTGAGCAGCGGCCATGATAGTATTTGTAGAAAAGAGAAAAAGATGCAACTTTATGATTATGGGAAGGAGGCTCAAGTTATGCAGATAGACCAGACCAACAAAATTTACAATACATTTTTGGACCTTGTCTAAAAGAGAAAGAGCATCATTAGAAGAACCAGCCAGCATACAGGGATGAATAAGAGATTTGTAGAGGTAGAGAATGGAATCAGGAGAGAGAAAATGGCGAGCACGATAAAGAGAAGCAGCCTTAGCAGATTCTAATTTAGCAATTGATTTTATATATGGTTTCCAAGAAAGATCAGTAGAAAATGATTATCCAAGAAGACATAAAAAAGAGAACTCAGTGAGAGGCTTGCCATTCATCAATATAGGAATGTTGACAGTATTGCAATAGTTGTTTGCAGTAAATAACTGAGTTTTGTTGGAGTTAAAATGTACAAGCCACTGTTAAAGAAGTGAGATCAAGATCGGCTGCCTGCTCTAAGCGATCGAAAAGAGAAGACTTATTGTAAAGACAGGAGTATACAATTGAGTCATCAGCAAAAAGAGCTACTTTAGATGTAAGGTTGTCAGGAAAATAATTAATGTAGATAAGAAACAAAACAAAGGACCAAAAATAAAACCTTGAGGTACCCTAGAAGTTACTGGAAATAAAGAAGAGTGTTGGCCTTCGAGGATGATTTTAATAAAGCCGTTAAAAAGAAACAATTTGATAATCTCAAAAACTTTTACAGATACATCATATAAAACAAGCTTATGGAGAAGACCAACATGCCAATTTTTGTTGAAAGCCTGAGATATGTCAAGAGCAATAGCCCTAGCCTCTCCGCCTTCATCTAATGCAAGATAAAATCTTTTAGTCACAGCAGTTAGCAAGTCAAGAACCAACAAGAACCAACAAGGAATAGAAGCTTCTATGCCTGCCTGAATCCAGGAAGTTACATAGAAAGCACATATTTCAGCTGAGAGGGAAAAGACATCAGCCCAAGGACTGTCACGAATAAAATCACGAAAAGAGTCCCAGTTTTAGGGTAATAGTAAGTAGTGCAATAACAGGGTGAATCTGAAAATGAAGTAAGAGATGAAAGATTTAAAAAGATCATTGGTCTTAGCCACCTAAGGGAGAAAAAGGAGAAACTGAACACAAGCTAGAATCAGAGACCAGACAAATCAAGGAGTGAAGGGAAATGATTAAGATTGTCAGGAAAACGAGTCACAAAGTTAACTATCTGAGTAAGAGATTGAGAAATGCAGAAGTTATAGGCTTTAGTACTACCAGGGCCATTCAGTGGCGTTAAAGCCATTCAGTGTGATGAGCATTTAAATTACCAATAGCAACAATGCAGAGGGGTAAAGAGAGAGAGAGCATGTTCAATTTGATCAGAAATTACATCTAAAATATATAAATGACTGCTAAAAACATTAAGTATTTTTTATTTAAAGCAAGGTATGGTTTAACTGTTATATAACAAATCTTAAATAATTTTAACAAAGGAATTGTTGTTTAAAACATGTGTTTTAGTCAACTTTTTAAAATGTTTCATAAATGGTAATTTTTTTTTCTTCAAGTAATTAATTTTTTTAAAAACTTTTATTTTACATAACATTTTGGAACATTTAAAAATTATTGGAAAAGTGACCTATGATTAGGTATCAGTCTGCTAACGAACAAAACAAAGGCTAGTTAACACACTGCCTTATGCATTTGCTATAACAAGAGAAAAAACAGAAGCCTTTTTTATTTATGTAAGCCTCGAGTAAACAAACAATACTTTCAATTCTGTTATTAAATGTTTTTGCCTCTATCGATCTTCTCATACAGTCTCTGCCAAGATTTATTTGAGCAACTACATACATTGAAAAAACCATTATTATTTTCTTACTGATCCCATTATATTTGTATTTGAGTTAAAATCAAATACAAATATAAAGGGATCAGTAAGAAAATACTTTGCATGAGAAAATTGCAAAAGTATGAAATCTACTGCCAGTGACCTTTAGTGGAGGTGACCATCTTTACCTACACCAAGTAGTTTGCACATGAATAAATTTATCTAGAAAATTTTGAAAAGGATATTCATTTGCAACTTTTGAGTTTATATAAAATTGAGCTAACAAAGGCTTTTGAACAAATGAAGTTTGGGAAATGTTTATCCGTTTTTGATCTTTGAAATTTTTCTACAAAAAAGGCTGATCAAATTTATTATAGTAGAGTGGTCAACATTGATGTCACCATAGCAAACTTTGTGAAAGCCATGAATTTAGGTGCGAAAAGACAGTGATGTAGATCAAGAGAAAATAAATGTTGAATTCAATGGTTTTAATTTTTTTATACTTTTAATGCAAAAGGAATGAGAAACACATTTAGCTTTGAAGTATTAAAGACAACAACAGCAACAAAAGTCAAAGAATAAATGTCAGTCATACTGTGCTCAACTCTTATATAATGGTTTAAAAAGAACTAATCTAAATCAGGATTTATATACTAACTGTATGTTTCATTGAAACATTCTCGTGTAGAAAGTCTGTTTTCAAAATTAAAACTAGTAAAAAATGTACTATGCAACCAGAGCACAGTGGGCAAAATCAATGTTATTAAAACAAATTATTTTTTAAAGTTATTTTTTATTGTAAGCCAAATAAACTTCCAGTTCATTAAAAAAAAAAATTCAAAAGCATGATTTGCTCATAAAAAATACTAGTTTGAATAACAATTTTGCTGCAAAAGATAGGTAATAGGTATAAATAATCAAAAAAGGCATTTTGGTTATCTGTAAGAATAAATGTCAGTGCCAATGTTATAACTGTATGTAGAAACAATCTTAGACTACAGGTTATGGAAATGTGAATGGTAACTTCATAGATTATTGCACTAATTTTTTATAGATATTATACCTAATTAAACAACTAAAATTTAGCAAACTTTTAGTGTTTTTCAACTATTTTTTATCAGATAAAATAATTTATCTTAAAAGTTGCCACTAGTAAACCCATATACATTTAAATTCCTATAGCAAAGAGGATAAAGAGAAAAAAAGATGCTTTTTAACTAAAATGTGCCAATTTAGTACTTTTAAACAAAAAAAGAAAAAGAAAGACCCTACTTCTTTAGTTTAAATTGTTGTAAACTATGTTAAAAAATGGTAATGCAATTAGCTTTTTATTGTTTAATATCATTTTTTAAACAAGAATAGGTATTCACTGAAAGAGTATAGAAATATGAGTCTAGAAATTAAAAAAAGGATTAAAACCAATTTGTGACTAATAATCCCACCACCCCCTTACCCTCTATTCCATTGAATTTAAACAGATTTGTTCAACCATTAAGAAAAAAATATATAGCAGTATTTAAATCTGTTTTAAAATAAATGAACTGCTAGAGGTAAAATCAAAATTGAGGGTACCTCACTGGTGTATATGCTAATAATATAATATTTTTACTTATGTAAACTTGTTTATATTTGATTTATATTATATTGTTTAAAAAAAGTTTAAATTATTTTGTTTAAAAAGTTATTAAAAAAAGAATCAACAAAAATATTTATATATTTAGTTTGCATAAAAAAACATTAGTTTAAAATAGCTGGCAATGATTTCAGCATCTGAAGAATATATAAATATATATATATATATAAATATATATATATACATATATATATATATATATATATATATATATATATATATATATATATATATATATATATATATATATATATATATATATATATTCATGTATATTTATATATAAATATCAGTAAGATCAACATGATCAACATGATTATTATCATCATCATCATTATCAACATCATCATTATCAAGCTTTAACCTTCCCCTTTTATGCTGTTTCTCTCATATAAACAAATCTCGAGCATCTTCTTTCTTTCTTTAACTAAAGTTTATACCATATTAACTCATATACTCATATTAACTCTCTATAAGTTTTCTTACTTCTCATTTTCTCCTAAAGCTGCCTCACTAAATACTGATACCTGAATAACATAAATCTTCTCTTAAAAACATTGTTTGGCACAATGTTTTTCTAATCTCTGTCTAAAATTATGGCTCCTTTTTTTTGTCTTGTCCGAGTCATACCACATATCCATCTGATCATCGTCTTTTATTTTAGCAAATACAACACATTATATTAATACTAAAGTTTATACAAATATGTGAAGATATTGTATGCCAGCATGTAAATAAATGTTTATATCCATATATATCCATATTATGTATGCTTAAATGCGCCTCTTACCTAACCTCCTGGTTCCAAGCAGGCATTCAAGTTCTTATTTCTTTTTATCGGTTTTAAGTCAAGCTTTCAATTCCACATTTTTCACTTTCTTGTGCAGTGGCTATATTAATCATTTATTTTTACATCTTTTTAAATCATTTTTATTACCTTTTTTACAAGAACATCTACTTGTAATCTTGTAAGAATTCATAATAAAAATTAATTATTTTATTAATTTAATTAATTATTAAAAACTTAATTTCATAATTAAAATAATATGAAAATATATAATTCTTAATATATTATTAGAAAACAGAGTTTAATTTCTTGTGGCGCTGTGAAGCCACATTTAATGTTGCATTGATTTCAGATTTATCTTTAATAAATGCAGTTGAAATGTTACAGAGACAGTGTTTTTGTAATTCTTGGTGCAGTTGAACTATGCCCAGCACTGAAATAAAGTAGAGTTTGGATGAAGATATGAACAGAGCTTCTGGAATACATTTTAATATGGGCGGGGGGGGGGGGGGGGGAAAGGCACTGAAAGGAGACATTTTGACAGACACACACATAATATTTTTTAATATTATAAATAAATTTGAAAAATAAAAACACTGATTGCTATAAAAAACCATGTATAAAATTTCTGGCTATAACATCTGTATATAAATATAAATCATAAGATAAATATGACAAAATATAACTGAATTAGAATTACCTTATCTTCTGGATTGAATGGTCTTGAATGTAAAGTTTTCTGACTTCTATGAACAGAGTAACTTGTTTTACGCTTACTAAACTTTAAAAAATATATATAATACTTATTATAAACAGAGTTTTACCAAGACCAAAGCTAAGCTTAAGCATAACCTTAGTCTTTTGTGAAATTTTTAAATAATGAAACAAAACTGAAATCTTTAAAAACAGCTGTTTAAAAGATACGTTCAAGTTTGACAGAAATTTCCAATCTTCTATAGAAGTTTGACAGAAATTTCCAATCTTCTATAGAAGTTTGGAACAAGATCTCATTGATTTCACTTAAAGTGATGTATAAAAATATAATGTATATGATCTTGAATTCAAGGAAATATACCCAAAATTTATAAATGGTAATCTAAAACATGTTGAAAAGTTAGTTAAACTAAAAGGTGCATCATTGAAATGTTTGATTTGAACAATATAGAGCATTTACAAACTATTTTGCATGAAACCATTGTTTTATGTCTTTAAAGTTATTGACTCATATTTTCACACCTCTGTATATATTAGATATGCAGAAATTGAATTACAGAACTGATTTTTCTGCTAAAATTCTGTGCCACATTTTTTTTTTACTTTTTTTTTATGTAGGCAGATTATTTTTTGTGGTGTTCCTTTTCAAAAACATGCATAAAGATTATTTTTGGAAAAAAGAAAACTTAGCCTACTTTTTATGACTTTAATGTATGGTTAGTTAATTTTTTATTGATTTTTTTGCTCATGAAAATTTCATTAATTTTCTCTTGTTTTGAAGCAAAGTTCAGAGTAAAATAATTGGAAACATATTGCTTAAAAAGTATAGCACTTTGGTACTTAATATCTGTTTTTGCAACAGCAGAGAAAGGAGATTCTATAAAATTATTATACTTATATTATTATTATATTTATATTATTATAATTTATTATAGATTCTATAAAAAATTTCAAAATTGTTTTACTTTGATTTTTTAGAATTAGATTTAAAAATGGAAATTAATCAAAGTGTGTTAGATTCTTAACAGATAGTAAGTTAGTTTGCTTTTTCATAATATAATTGTTGATAACTCTTTTTAAAACAACAACAAAAAAATACTATGTAAAAATTTATATCAGTATATTCAAAAAAACAAAAAAACATAATCTAATTTAAATTTATTGACTACATTCTACCTAGTCAAGGTTGTCTTTTTATTAAAAATTGACTAAGCTTGATCTAGACAGATAACTTTAATTAGATTAAATTTTTATTTTTTTAAATATTATATGTAAAAACCATAGTCACTAAGGTTTCTACAAAATTATCTTAATCTTGTTTTCTATGTAAAATATAAAACAAGATTAAGGTTTTAGATTAAAACTTTGACTTTTGAATTGATTATTAACTGATAGCACCCGTTCACAATTCAATTAAGAAACCAATCAAGTAGTATACAAATCACAAAGTTTATTGGTTTACTTTTAACAAAACAACTTGTAAATGTTTTTCAAATATAATATTTTATATTACATTATAAAAGATAATTTAATTATTGTCTTTTATCATTTTTCTATTGTATACTTATTGAGTGAATTATCATTTTTCTATTGTATACTACTTTATCTTTTGCTTATTGTTTAAATCATTATACAAACCTGTTTAATATTTGCTCCTTGTTTAGATTATGGCAGACTTTTCATTGATTTTCAGATTTTTTATAAGTATATAAATCACAAAATATTTGGGTTTATTCAGAAAAAAAAAACATGTTAAGGTTTTAAAAGAATTTTAATATAAAAAATAAGATTATTGTTTTTTAACACTCACTTATTGTATACTACCTTTTTTTATTGTTTAAATCATTAAATTATTTAAACTATTAAAACATTAATGTTTGTTTGTTGGTTATAAATATTTTTTTATTATATTTTTATTGTTTATTTAGTAAAGTTTTTGCATGTAAAGCAGAACTTAATTGATAATTGTTACTTCTGCAACTTACTGTTGACAATTTCAGGGTGCTTTGTTTTATTATACAATATATACAATACTTTTATTTTTTAATCCAGTTTATAACAGGTAAGTTTGTATACCATAATTTTAGTTATAGTTATAGAAATACAAATATAAAGATGTATACTTTGGTTTAATTCATTGTTTTATTTTAATTTATACTTTTAATTAACCTTCAGTCCTTTATTCAGCTGTTACCTTCAGTATTTTAAAAAACTAATACTTTTTTAGTCTGCATATAGATTTAATGCTAAATTTAAAATTATAACCCATAGTCTAATTTTGAATCACAGGTTCTTATATTTTCTTCAAACTTCTTTAGCTGTTGCGTTTTACAAAGAAAAGTTCAAATAAAAATTTTTAGCTCAAAATTTTAATTGTTCCCAAGATATCTCAATTTTGAAATTGACCTGGTTTCTAAACATGATCGATTTTCCTAACATTTTGAAAAAACAATTTCTTTAATTAAAGGAGAAATAACAAGATCAAAAATATAAATATAAACATTTATAATGCTTTATAATAAATATAATTCAATAAATGTATACAAAATGCTGAAACATGCCCAGAACATGCCTAAAAATTAATAAAACAATTAGTATGCAGTACCCAACTTCAATATCTTAAAACAGCCCTATTAAATATACTTTTTCTTTGCTTTTAATATTTTTAGTTACTTATAATCTTACATGAAAAAAAACTTGAAAAACAATAGAAACATATAGAACTATAGTTTCAAAGATTTATTACTTATTTCTGTACAAAAAGTTTTTATATAAAATGTGATTGATCACTTATTGAGATACAAAAACTGACCAAGCGCGATACTGATGTGTATTTTTTTAATAAATTTTGGTAACCACGTAAATCGGTTAAAACTTTGGAATAACAAATTCATATATATAAATAAAAATTAACAATATCTATCAGTACAAAACGTGATACTAAAAAAGAAACTTAAAAAGGTTTGAGCTATTTCTATCTTGAAAGCTTTAGTCACAATAAATGAGTAAGTCATGATTAGTAGTAGTCTTTATATTGCTCCTTGGAAGAAACTCTGCAAACTTTGTAAATAAAAGATTGACTGAATCTTCTGGAAGAGGAACCAAGTCAGAGTGAACAAGATGAAGTTTTATATGATGTGTTGGGTTTATATAAAAATATTTTATTTTCATTGATTACTAATATATTTATGATATTTTTGGGTTTAGAGCTTTACATGTGAAACTTATGAAATTTATAGGTTTTAGCATCCTAGACCCTACACTAACAAGTCATATTTATAGTGGGTTTGGTCTGGAGGCAATGACAAGACAATATTGAGAGAGCCCCCTCCAAACAGGTGTGCAATGTACTATAGCAGAAGATCAAGAGGTAAAGGTTGTGGCAGCAGAAGAGATCATGGTAAAAAATAGAGTATCGCAAGTTCTATAATTTGCAAAATATGTACTGCACTTTTTATGGCTTGCAAATAAGCACTGAAGGTTTTGTTACATGCAGTAGATTTTGTGACTTGCAAACAGATACCACAAGTTTTGTCACTTGCAAATTAGGTACCACAAGTTTTGATGCCTTGAAAATAAGTACTTCAAAATTTGTGGCTTGCAAATAAGCCACAATAAGCCATTGCAAATAGGTACAGCAAATAGGTACAGCAAATTATGTGAAATGCAAATTTAGTACAGTTTCATGTCTGTAACTAAGCAAGTTGTGTCAAGTTGTTTCTATTGTTAAAAATTTATTTAGTAATATTATTAAAACTTAAAATTAAAATCATTTACTAAAAGCCAAGTCACAAACTAATTACAACTTTTATTTTAAAACATTTTTTCTTTATTTTTTTTCTGGTTGGAAGGTTTGCCTCTTATATTTATAAAAACAAATTTAATATAATTAATAATTTAAAATATAAATAATAAATTGATCTATCCCTAACAAACATTTTCTTCTTTTTTTTTAATTAAAACCAATTTTTTTAACTTATATAAATAAACTGATTTTTATTTTCTTAATGACTAAAACTATATTAAAATGTCTTACTAAGATTGACAATCAAATAAAATTAATAATAATAAACTTAAATACATTACTTGTTCACGAATGGGTTTTACATTTTTTGACTCATTCTCAACAACCATATTTTCTTCATACTTTTGCTTTTCTCTCAACAGTATTAGACCAGCAAGAATATCAGTTGGTACAAGATCTGTATAACTTCGAAAATAATCAGCAAAAAGTTTAGCAGCAAATCGCAAAACGTTATCTTTTGACACTTCTTTTTTTGTGCAACAAAAAAAAAGTTTGCAATGTTTCAGCCAATCTTTTCGATATTTTTCTGAAATTTCTTGTTTACATTTCAGTACTTCTACAGAGTTATATTTATTTTTCTGTACTAGTTTATACCAAAGATTTCCAGCAGAATCAAATCCAATTATGATTATTATAAAACAAACAACTACTTGTAAAAAGTTACAACAACAAGCAATAATAGGTAGCAATTTATTTGGTCTTATTTCACTTTGACATTTTAAGGTAACTACATGATAGCAACCAAAGCAAGCAGAACAGATCTCAAAAATCAAAATCAGAGAACGAAGATACAACAGCTTAGATATCGGTTTTCTTTTTACATCTTCATAAATCGTGCCTCTGCTACTAACAAAGGCAATAACTAAATCAGTCAATGACGAAAAAAATAAGGCAAAAATGTAAACCAACGAATATTTTTTTAAGGTTTTTAAACAAAATCGCTCTTCACGAATAACATAGTCAGCAGCAAAAAAACATACCATAATTAAAAATCTAAAACAAACAAAAAATCAAATGCAAAATATTAGAAAACAAAACACCTGCAAGTACGTAAATAAAGAGTAAATAAAAGATTAGCAGACTAACCCAATGCCTCGAATGATAAAAGATAAGCCAAACGGAATAACCAAATCATCACTACCTAACATCCACCTGCGATTAAACAGTATTAACCCCGGCATTTTTAAAAAATTTAATAATTTACTCACTATAATTTAAATACGAGTTTTAAATATACAGTTGCCACTAGCTCAGAAAGTTATTTAATGTCCTTTGGTATAATAATTTTGCATCTTTTGTTTTTTGCGCTTGTGTTTTTGTAAAATATAGTTTAATTTATTTACCTCTGCGCTTTTTTAAGCGTAAAAGAGAAATAGAAAAAACTTGATAAGCGTAAAAATGTAATTCCTGGGATAAAAAAATGTAATTGTTATTCAAAACAATTCTTATAAGAGATAAATATTAAATTTGGCTTTCAAAATAAAAAAAGTCGGTTTATAAAATCGTCGCGTTAATTTGCAACTCAATTATGCTTCGATTATGAGAAAAATTTTAGTGGTTTGATCGAAGCACTTATGATTTGCGTAAATCCGGTATTTAGGAAACGTTTGTTTGGCCAGATTCAATGCCACGCTTTTTATAAGTACATATTTTTAGGGCTGATTCTTGGAACAATTCATTGAACATGTTTTGCTAGCAAAACATTAAAAAAAAAAATTAAAAATCATAGCATGCTATAATTTTTTAATTATAGATAGTTGTTTTTTAAACCGTATTAATATCAAAAACGTTTTAATACTTATTGCATCAAGTTTATAATGAAGGAACGCTGGGTAAATTTTCCAATCCATTCTCATTTCTTTAAAAATTATTTTTCTCTCTAACTGCTAAATTTCGTTAAGAAAAAGCTCGTCCTAACTAAACTTACTAACTTGCCCGAAATAAGTACATATTTTCAGGAGCGATTCTAGGAATAAAATGAGGGGGGAGCGAGTTTATATAATCTAAAATTTGCTTAATAGTGTAACATCCTTAGTGTTACATCTTTCATTGTTTTACTTGATCCTATTAGTTTTATCATCAAATAAGAATATTAAAGATATGCAATAGGTTTTATAAATTTTTTAGGCAACAAACACAATGTATAATACTAAGGTATTTTGGAAACCGTTATCATATTTGTTTTTATCTTTTTTTTATTTTTATAAAGCATTATAGTTAACTCAGACATTTTCTCACAGTTGAAAAATAAAAATGTAGAAGATTTCAAACAATTCTGCCAACAACATTTTTTAACATAACTGCCATTAAGAAAAAAATTTGTGGGCTTGCAGTGATGGAAAAATTTCTTACTAGGTTGAGGATGAAAATTTTGTATGTGTCAGTCGGGAACGCAATTTTAGATTATGTTGCTGGTATTCAAGCAGAAAAAAAGAGAAAAAAGTTCTTAAAAATGAATTTATTATATAATAACGGCAGATTAATGCAAAACTTGGTTGAGCTAACTGCGGCTCTTGGTTAAGCCAACTGAGGCTCACATTGAAAATTATAAAGTTAGTTTATTTTTAATAACTCTAGACTTTTTATTTTAATTTTCTAAATACATACTAATATTTTGTTATATGGATTTCTGGTATAGTTTTTTTTTCTAAATATTGTTCTCTGGAATTGAATTGAGAGTGCAAAATTTTTTTTTAAATTTTGTTTTGCTTTATTTTGCATTGTTTCATATTCAGAATATTTAACAAGAACAAGTAAAATATTCTGAATTCCGTAAATGTAAATAATGTGAGATTTATTTGTGCGACAATCATTGTGCAAATTAAGAATAAAAATCCATTGCAATAAATGACAATACGACTATTATCCCAGCACACATGCATGCGTTAAATCAACGTTGAAAACCAGTCGCAGCGTAGAAAAAGCGTTACAGTCACAAAAACAACGTGCTTTCAACGTTGAATCAATGTCTGTTTTTGTATACTAAATCGCGGTGAATTGAAACGTTGAATAAGCGTTGAAATTGTAACGTAATTTAGCCTCTCAAAAAAAAACGTTTATTCAACGTGGAATCAACTTACGCAAAAAGCCACTTTAAAAACGTTTCGAAGTATATTCTTTATCAACGTTAAAAACAAACCGCTTTTTAAACGTTCCATTTTCAACGTTGAATAAGCGTATAAATTTAAACGTATCTTATCTTCTCAAAAAAACGCGTTTATTAAATGTTGAAAATAAGTACGCAAATAATCACTGTAAAAACGTCGCAAAGGTAATGGTTTATCAACGTTAGACATTAGCTGCTTTTTCAACGAATTTAAACTATTTGAAAAACAACACTTATTCAACGTTATTTCAACGTCGGTTGAAAATGTGGTAATTAAAAAACGTTGAAAAAGTGTTACTTTGCCAACGTTAATAAAACGTTGTTTTGACAATGTTGAGGAAGTGGCACATTAAAAATTATTGTCTCAATAACTAGCCATTACAAAAATAATTTACCGTAATGGAAAGGCAAGGAAAACTTGATAGAATGCATGCATATGGTATAAAAATTTTTTTAATAAAGTTATAATTTACAGCCTATTTTATTGCGACTAATTTAAAACTTTTAGATTTTATATCAAAATGTATATAAAGTACATAAATCTCAGGGTAAATTCGATTTATTCAGATTATTTTTGTCAATGTTTTATTTTGTTTTAAGTTGACGATTTTAATAAAATGCTCAACTTTTCTAAAAATTTATTTCTTAGTTGGAAATAGTACTTAGTTTGAATATGATTCACATTTATAAAATATTATCAAAATTAATAAAACATAATAAGTTAGACTAAATAAAGTTTGTTAACAGAATAAATTTTTTAATTTATTTAAAAATTATCACTTATACATACATACACACACACATATACACACATATATATATATATATATATATATATATATATATATATATATATATATATATATATATATATATATATATATATATATATATATATCAGTGGCGGATTATCAAATTATGGGCCTATAGGCTTAACTAATTCATGGGCCCTATATACCTATATTTTTCTAAAAAATATGTCAAAAAGTACAATTTTAATTTTATTTATAATAATAATATCTATAATAAAATCTAATTTTATTTCAAAATTACAAACAAATTATCAGGTATATTAGATACTAGTATATATTTTATAAATGGCTGACCCAAAGAAAAAAACAACACGATCAAAAATTCATTTTTCTGCATTTTCGTTCAACAAAGTCTGATAAAATTTCATTGAAGTCACAGCTTCTTAGGATGTCAGATTCAGTACACATAGCAGTAAGGGAATTCAGTTTGTCATCACCCAAAGCACTTCGCAGATAGTTTTTTATCCGTTTCAATGCAGAGAATAATCTTTCATCACTGCAGTTGGTGATCATCAAACTGAGGTATATGTGAAGTGCTGTGGCAACATTTGGAAATATATCTTGTAGTGCACTGCTGTTTCTCAAAGCCTGATACATATACAGCTCTATGCTACATTTCAGTTCTTTCTCATTCTGTTGCAAGTACGTATCAGCTAACAAATATTCTTTGAAGTGAAGTATTTCATCTTCAAATGACTCTTCCAGATTTATTGTCAAGACAAGAGTATAAAGTGGAGTCATCAGCAAATAGAGCTACTTTAGATTTCATTATGATTGTTATTGTAGATTGAAAAATATTACAGGAACAAATATAGAATTTTAAAGTTACTTGAAATAAAGAGGGTAAGCCTTCAAGAATAACTTCACTACTGTAGTTAGAAAGAAGTAATTTAATTACCTCCAAACCTTTTCATAGAAAATTATAAGAAACTATTAAAAAAGTGAAGAAGAATCGTAGGATACTTGGAGAGGTCAAAGTATTTTCTAGAGATTTGAAAAATTGGAACCACGTATTTAGCACTTTTTTAAAGTTTAGCAAAAGTTGAGGATAGTTCTGGAGAACACTTTTTTAAGACTATGATGGAAATCTTGTCTGAAGCACACATTGTAGATGTGTTTAATTGAGACTTAGTTTTAGTATTGGAAGCTAGAGTAGTTTCGATGTTTAACAATGGATTAAGACTTTATTTATACATTAGCTTATTGCAATAATAAAAAGGACAATTTTTTCTTGAGAGAGATGTTCTTATAAAAAAGCTGAAAAACGTAGTTAATGTTGAAAGATGTAGAGTAGAATGAGGCTTGATTTAAAACTGAAGAGAAGTAATAAAAGCTTCCAAACTTTTATTCCAGAAGCAATATAAGCTTCCAAGTTGCACTTTTTGCACACATATTATGGATATAAGCATATTTGTTTGCTATTTGTTAGATGCTGGCATACAATATCCTTTCATTGTTGTATAAACTTTAGTATTTATATAGTGTAGTATTTGCTGAATAAGAGAAAATGATCATATGGATGTGTGGTGTGACTCTAACAAGATATAAAAAGTAAGCATAATCTTTGACAGATTAGAAAAAACGTTGTATCAAACAACCTTTTTTTTTAGAAAAAGTTAAAGTAATTCAGGTATTAACATTTAGAGAGGTAGCAGCTTCAGTATAAAATGGTTGTGGTAGATGTAAGAAAATTTGAAGAGTGTGCCTTACATAGTGCCATAATAAAGATGATGATGATTATCATGATGACGATCAACAACATCAACTAAGTTTTTATTATAATTGTTAAGCTTTCTGCTTTTATGCTGTTGATGATGATGATGATGATGATGATGATGATGATGATGATGATGATGATGATGATGATGATGATGATAATGATGATGATGGTGATGATGATGGTTATGATGATTATGATGATCATATTGATCACAATGATGTTCATATATGCATATATATACAAAATATAGCATGAATTTTAAATTTAAAAAATATACTTAAGATGTATAAATGTTTATGCAGCCTGGTCTTAAACCCGGCCCTGGCCCCGGCTATATTTTATCAAACCCAGCCCTGGCCCCAGTCAGTTGTTTACTACAAAAAATTTCAAGAATAAAAAACGTCGTGTTATTTTTAAAAACAATTATTTATTTTATGCTATTACGACAATCACAATATATATATATATATATATATATATATATATATATATATATATATATATATATATAATTTATATATATATATATATTTATTTTTACTTTTTAAATTTAATAATAATCATACTAATTCAATAACATTTTTTAAACATTTGCTTTCAGATTGATTATGATACAAGTTTTATTTTTTGATTTAGATTCTGTATCTCAATGATATCCTGGCTTATCGATACGATATCCTGTAAATCCACTCACAAACATAAATTTTACTCACACACGTAAATCCTGTAAATTCACTTACATACATAAATCTTAAAAAAGATGTTTATATTTTTATCTATAAATTGTAAATTTTATATAAATAAATTGTATATTTTTTATGTTTTTCATTGTATATTACTATTTGTATTAAAAATCGACTTTGGAAATAT